AGCTGCCGTAGACATGCCCGTCCTGGCCCGCGCGCTCCTGGTCCGGGCTCTTCTGCCGGCGGTCGCTGGCGTGGTTCTTGATCTCGTCCTCGTCGCGGGTCCCACCGTGGCTGGAGTCAGCGTCGTTCTGTCCGAACTTAACCCTGACGGTGCCGAAGCCCACGGCCAGGACGCTCTTGCGTTTGGATTTCTGGCAGGCCTCTGCGATCGACATGTCCACGCGGACCAGTGGCCCCTGGCCTTCCCCTTCTGCCACCACGACGGGCCACCTGGCAGAGCGAGCCTGGGGGACAGACACCACGGCCTCGTCCAGGGAGGTGGCAGCCAGTGAGAAGTCCTTGGGGTCATAGATGTCCAGGGGCGTCACCGAGCCATCGCTGCAGTGCAGCCAAGCGCTGACCACGGCTTCCTGCAGGGAGACAGGAGTGAGCGGGTGGCCACGGCCTCGCAGGGACCCTCCCACGGCGGAGCCCAAAGGCCCAGGGGGCAGGGGTCCAACTCGGAGCTGGAAGCTGTGAATGTGGGAGAAGGCACGTGTGACAGGAGTCACGTCAGCCAGCGGGAGCCCTGAGGGACACCGGGACACGAGCCCCAGCGGCTCCCCTGACTGAGACGTCACGTGACTAGGTTGCAGGACATGTCCTCCCAGAGCACGGTGGCCCCCACACAGCCCCTGGTCACGCTGTCACAGACGGGGCTGGTGGGGGAGGCAGCGCTGAAGACGCCGTCAGTCGGGGAATCCAGACGCCCCCTCCTGACGCGCAGCTGTGAATCAGCAGCGCTTTCTGCTCTGCCTGCACAGCAGGACGGCGAGCGCATGGCACCTCCGGAGCTGACCCTGCTGCACCCTCGAAGGCACCTGCTGACCATCTGCTGATGCAGGGGGTGACGTGGTGGCACGGTTACTGCGCCGTCTTCTGGGCATGGGGCCTGTCACAGACAGCACCCCCAGAGGACAGTGGGGCGCTCGGGGCCAAAGGAAGGGGCTGGCTCATTCTGAAGACTTGATTTTCTGCTGTGGCTGTCACTGACGGTCACTGACTGAACAGCTATGTGAAGTAACGGCCGATCGGGGGAAACCCTGTGAAAGCTACTGGCCTTGACTTGCTCCCACTCCCATCCTGTGAGCCCGGGAAATGCTCGCTGAGCACACGCCTTCTGCCTTTGCCCCTCCCAGGGCCATGAAGACCCACGACCAGCAGTGCTGGGGAGGCGGGGCCAGCCAACAGAACAGCCCTGGGAGGACTGGGCCAGGCGACGGCACGGTCCCGGGGAGGCGGGGCTGGACAGCAGCACAACCCAAGGGAGGTCCGGCCCGCCAATGACACATC